TTATCTGTCTATTTGTTCCAGGCCTGTGTAGCAGAAACTGGTAATGCAATTGTATCAGTGTGGCAGCCAGGCAACTAGCATTTTCTGAAGGCGAGATGAGCAATGGCAGCCATTTTTTTTCTTTTAAGAGAGCTTTACAAATCCTCTTATTGTAGACTGTTGCTGATTTGTGGATGGACTTTTCATAGTATGTACAACAGGCTGTCTCTGATATATTTTACTCATACAGTAAGTTGCCAAGTATTCTGGTCCTGCAGGACAGGTTCACGTTAATTGTTTTTACCCATCAAACTAACCTTTTACATTAAAGAATAGAAACCACCAGGTGCCAGTCAGTAACCTCAGCTTGTCAAACTGCTGCTGCTAAAGCTGTCCACACACTGCTCAAAATTCGAGCAGTCTGTGGCCCTGTCAGCTCCCCTCTGTTCGTCAAGAGACGGTCCGAAAATATTTGGCTGGATAGTGACTGCAGCCAGTCAGCTGCAGACACTGTTCTGGTATTCTAACACACCTGCCACTGTCAGAATACATAGTTACATACTTACATAATACAAAGCATATATTACATTTCAGAAATGTCAGAACTGAGGCATGGCCCCCAGCATCTCCCAATACATTGTGTCAGTTTGTTGCTGAGGCCGAACGCTCCATATTTCTGGATTTTCTGGAGGTGTTTTTCAACCTCCGATGGGAATTAAACAGCATTATCTTTCCCAATCAGATTACCTTGTAAGTAAAGTCAATTATAAATGATGTTTTTGCTGGATTATTATTTTTAAAACACATGAATGGATAAAACAGAAGAGGAGTAATTATATTAGAAATTACAAGTGAATCGCCTTGTTATGCTCAATTAAACTTTCTAAGATAATTACTTTACTTAAAATAGCAAGTGGTTATACAGAGCCCTCGTCCGTATCTGCTTTTATGACATGCTTTGTTTTCTGTTACAGCATGTCATAAATAGCATCGGAAATGGGATTGTTTGAGTAAATGCAGCAGGACAACATCACAGGAAATGGGTTACTAGACAAAGTCATATTTTTTTCTTATTGTTCTTCTTTAAATGAGATGTATATATCAGTTATTCACAATCAGGTAAAAATGTTCTAATTTTACTATCTCTACTTTTAAAGAAATGTGTTAGATAATAGTAATAAAAATAGGAAATAGGTGTAGTGGGAACTGGATAAGTAAATTGATTGTGATAAAAGGTTATATTAAAGGAGAACTATGAGATGAGTGATTTCCACTCACCTCATAGTTCTAAGCCGACCAGTGACAATAAGGCTCAGTAGAACGCGAGGTGAGGGAACACATACCAGGTTCCCTCACACCTCGATCCTGTCACGGCTCTCTGCCGTGACAGGGGGAGGGGCTGGATTCCCCTCTCCGATCTGCCAGCAATGACTGGCGGAACGGACGGGGGAGGGGGCGGGTACAGCTGGCTCTGCCTCTAGATAGGCAGAGCCAGCTGTCACGCAGCTGGGCGGATCCCGTCATCTACGTCGGGATCCGCTCCAGGTGCGGCGTCTCAGTATACCGCGAGCTGTAGCTCGCGGTATACTGAGCTTAGGGTAACGGGAGGACGCTAGTTTGTGTCCTCCCGTTACCCTAAGGAGAACTATGGGGAAAAACACTGACCCCATAGTTCTCCTTTAAAGGAGAACTATGGAGAGAGTGAAATCCACCTATCCCCATAGTTAGAGCTGGCGTGTGAAACTGCAGCTGTCACACGTGGGCTCTATAGAACAAGAACTGAGCGATCACATACCGCTGATCATGACCTTCTCCCTACAGAGAGTGGTGACTGTCAGTCACTGCTCCCCACAGGGAGCAGTGCTGACTGGAGGGACAGACAGGGGAGGGGTGGATACAGCTGGCTCTGGCTCTAGTGAGTCAGAGCAAGCTGTCAATCAGGTAGAGGGATATATGTATCACTTGCCCCCCCCCTTTTTGATTGCAATGCAAGCCCTCCTTACCATCTTGTCTTGAATTGTATTGTCTTTTACTGAAAATGTAACTGTTAGTGCACATTAAAAAAAAGTGTCATGGACAGCACTCACTGTGTTGTAGGTCTCAGTGGGAGAAATGCTGACTGTACATACCGCTCCCAGAGAGTTATGAGGAAGATCTGTGGCTGCATTCTACTCCTTTTTTTTTTAATTTAATTTTTTGACTGTTAGAAACACATGGAGCCCATGAACAATAAGCACATAACGAGTGTGGGGTCTTCCCAAAATAATATGCATATAATATTTAATTGTAACTAATGCTGAACTCTTCCTTGAAGTTAGTTGGGGGTTTTTTAAACCCATTTGAACCCTTAAGATGTATTACTGCAACACAGCCATTCTCTATACAAATTTTCCAACCGCTAATACGTGCTAAATGCATACAAATAGGCTACCGTATTTTTTGCTCCATTAGACGCACCTGACAATAAGACGCATCTAGGTTGCTGCCCGTGTTGCCTGTGTCTAACTAGAGCTAGAAATCGTGTGACAGCTGAGAGGAAGGGCTGTGAATGCAGCTCTCCCCTCCACTGTCTACTGCATCCGGAGAGGATTTGCGGCTGTCCGGCAGGGTGAAAGGTGGGGTTGCGGGGGAGAGCGGGCGAGAACTTCCTGACGGGGGGCGGGAACTTACCTGCCGCTCCTCTGCTCCCTGGCAAATTTCGGCTCTGCATGCACGTATGCCCCCACACGCTCACACTGCTCAGAGTACAAGCAAGAGTTCTGGCTCTCACAGACCTGTACCTTCTTCTTTAAGAGGCTCCTCCTCTGTCCTGCACTCATTAGCTGTATCAATGGCACCTGCTTGAACTTATCAGTATAAAAGACACCTGTCCACAACCTCAAACAGTCACACTCCAAACTCCACTATGGTGAAGACCAAAGAGCTGTCGAAGGACACCAGAAACAAAATTGTAGACCTGCACCAGGCTGGGAAGACTGAATCTGCAATAGGCAAGCAGCTTGGTGTGAACAAATCAACTGTGGGAGCAATAATTAGAAAATGGAAGACATACAAGACCACTGATAATCTCCCTCGATCTGGGGCTCCACGCAAGATCTCACCCCGTGGGGTCAAAATGATCACAAGAACGGTGAGCAAAAATCCCAGGACCACACGGGGGGACCTAGTGAATGACCTGCAGAGAGCTGGGACCAACGTAACAAAGGCTACCATCAGTAACACACTACGCCGCCAGGGACTCACTCAGATCCTGCACTGCCAGACGTGTCCCCCTGCTTAAGCCAGTACATGTCCGGGCCCGTCTGAAGGATTGGGAGAATGTCAAATGGTTAGATGAAACCAAAATAGAACTATTTGGTAGAAACACAACTCGTCGTGTTTGGAGGAGAGAGAATGCTGAGTTGCATCCAAAGAACACCATACCTACTGTGAAGCATGGGGGTGGCAACATCATGCTTTGGGGCTGTTTCTCTGCAAAGGGACCAGGACGACTGATCCGTGTACAGGACAAGTATAGTGTAAAGTATTAAAGTATAAAAGTGTAACATTATTCACTGTAAACACAAGGTATTGGAGGCTGCTGCAGGTACGTACAGGAACATCAAGTTCTTAAAACAATGCACCGCGCTGAAACTCTTAACGATATATCAAACAAAAAGTGTGTCCAAATAAACCCCTATGAGAAAAGTGATATACTTTGTAAACTTAATCAAATAAATTAAACTCCTGTAAATAATTTGAATCCAAGGTGATAAAGTTCACAGTGTAAATCTCTTATGAGACTTGATAAGTGTCCAATAAATCAAACAGTGCATAAGTGTTCATACACATCGATATCAAACAGTGCTCAAATGCAGATTGATGTTCATATAAATCTGTATGATATACTGCGATTGGGAACTAATGCCTCTAAGATATTCACGGAGTATCTTCCTTCAATGATCAATCTCCCCCGGCTATATAATGAGAAAAAAAAACACTCACCTGAAGTTGCTGACCATGCATTCAAATGGTCATACTGCGCATTGGTGAGCGTGCTCTCCTTCAATACTGATCCTCCCAGCTGTCACTTTAGATGTCGGTAATCATCTCTCCCCTCAAACACCAAACAAAATCCAAGGAGCTCCCCCACTCGATTAAACGATCCACCTCACAAAGGGAAAAGGGATACAATAGTGTAGTATATCGAGATAAAATATTTATTAAAATGTAGTAACTTACAAGCAAGTATAAAATCATCAGCAGGCTGATTGAGCGTCCACCACAAAACTAGCCTCAGACGTAAGGAACACAGCACGCACCACTTCCTACGCGTTTCGTCACTGGGACTTTTTCAAGGAGGGTGCCACCTCCTTGTAGTGTGGGGCCCCACTAAAAGGATGAATTTGTTTTTATGTAACCTGGAGTTCATCTTAAACACTAGTATATTTATTCATTACTTTTTAGAAAAACTTTTTTTGGGTTAATTGCCCCTTTAAAGAAGCACTGCTGGCAAATTAAAAATGTTGTCCCCTAGTTAAAACGTGCACTTAAACTTGCAGTGTGGGGGGTAGCTCCACTGCAAGGGTTAGGTGCATGTTTTAACTAGGGGAAAATATTTAAAGCTGTTTTTACTCACCCAATCCTCTGTTCTGCCGACTCCCTCCAGGCTGCTAGACCGGTCCCTGCAGCTTCTTCTCTCCTTCACCCGATTGCTTTAAGGACCGGTGATGTCATCATTTCTAATGCAGGTCCATTGACCTGCATTAGACATGAGGATGCTGATGGACATTCCACCATCAGGAGCAAAGTGGGGGAGAAATGAACTCTGACAATAGCAGGTTCCAGGATCAGGTAAGTAAAACTACTTTTTTTTTTTTGAGTCCGCTAGACAAAATGAGCACTTAATCTCTGCAGTGTGAGGGTAGCCTCACTGCAAGGCTGTTTGTTTCCTTGCCCAGAGTTTTTTTTTAAAATGTAACAAAATGTATAACCTTTTATTTGAGATCAGTACAGATAACTCTCTGCTTATTGACTTGCAGCAAAGTATTTTCCAGGCTGAACTTCCACATTCCAGATAACATCATCCGTAAGTTGATTGCTAATACTCCTGGAGTGATTGAGCCAGTTCTATATACTCTGCGACAGAAGATCAATGAAAGACTGCAAGATCAGAACCAGAGAGAGAACATCTCACAAGTAAAGGTCCGCTTCTTAATGATCTGCTTGAATGTGTGTGCCCTGAACCTGTGCTCTGTAAATCATGATTTGTAAAGTAATCGATTCTTGCAAGGTTTGAAGCCCTATGAAAAGCAATTACTTTGAGTAAGCAGGTATTGTATCTGTTGTTCTGAGACGGCTCATCCAAATGAGAATTATAGGCAGGTTACAATCGCCAGTTTATGAATGCTTGTAGATGGGGTTATGAGGTCACTGATAAATCAACCTGAACTGTGTTTAATGGCTAGATGGCATCACGACTATCCACATTGCTGGTCCTTTCTCTAACACATTTTGAGAGGTGTGTTTATGTTCTCTCCTAAACCCAACATATCAATATATATTGTGGCATTGTGAGGCAATACCACGGTGTTAGGTGGCCTCAAAGTCACCCAGGGTTCTCAGCCAGAGGGGCTGAGTGGCTCCAGGAAGACATTACTGGTACCAGGAGAGAACTGCCTTTTCAGTTCTTTCTGGGTTTTCTGGATCAAGGTTGGGATCCTGGAGCCAGGAGATTTCTTAGAGCTCTGGGTGGGAAGAAATCTCCATTCCTGGGTCCATGCTTTGGTGGTGACCAGCACCTGATTGTGCACCTGTGTACATCCATCATGAAATGTGTGCTGGGATGTGTTCAGGGCCCCCACCTGTGAGTCAGGAGAGCTCCACCCTGGAGTCAGTGGAGGCCAGTGCAGCAGGGAGCTGCGGGGTTTGCGAACCATATTGAGAGGATTGGCATGTTATTGCTGTTGTCTGGAGGAACCAGACAGTGGCCCTAAAGATTGAGGCCGGAGCAGCAGTGCTGCAAGAGAGACAGATGTCGGTGAGCCCTTATCTGTTATATGCTACAGCGAGCTATTTATGTTGGATTTCATGTTATCTACCGTTTTGAAAGCAAATAAACTGCATCTGACTTGCACCTCCGGTCTACAGTGGAGTGTCCTTGTTACAATATGTACAAATGTGAGGTGCTTACTGATATTGGCAAGTAGGGATATAGTTCATGCCAAGGCTATGTAATATAATATTGCTTTATTCCTGTATATGTGCCACTGCAATGGTTATACATCAGAGGAGAGAAACCTGGGTACGTTGTGGGCCCAAGAATCAGCCTAGAGTGATATCCTGCACGTTATGGATTTATTGGAGGTGTCACATGATTATTTTCAGTCATGAACACTTGGGGTGTGCAGTATTAAGTTTTATTCTGAAATGCACATAGGAGAATAGAGAAAAAATGTCAGTGTAGCAATAATATGATAAAGGCGGATAACCCAGCTAAGCACCCCCAATGGATATTTTTTGGGGATATTACAAGATATTAGACAGCTGGGGAAAATTAACTCCATACATGTAAGGAATTGGTTTAACTGCACAGTGAATGTGTAGCCAACCATTTTAAACAGTTTAAAATCAGACATGATGATTATATGATTCTTTTTATGAAATGCACCTTTGGTACAATGGGACATAGCACTGTAAATCGATAATATTACAATACAAGTCTTGAGCTTGTGACATGTTTACTGTAAGTGTTATTTCTTTATCGTACATTGAGTGACACAGGTATTCAGGAAATCTGAAACAGTTGGAGTTAGACTGCTGCCTACAGGAAGTTGGGACAGTGGCAAAAAAAGGAGGTTGGTCTCTCTCTCCTCAGCTCTGCTAAAAAAAAAAAAAAAAAGTTTTACTATATTTTTTGCTAGTTTTTTATTTCTTTCATTACTGATATATAGACAAAAAAGTAGAGGAAAGGGTTTGTGGAGAGATATATCAAACCATGCGTAAAATGATATCAAATTTATTGTACATAAAATGAATTGCAGTAAAAACATTGCTTGGTTATTACAATGGATAGAACTTATAGATAGCATTATTACATACATGAATGTAGTATCCCAATTATTGCCAAACCAGGTTCATCCCTTCTCATTGATTGGCCTGACATACATAAATAAAATTGTTAAATTCTCAAACGTATAGGTCATGATTCGTAAAAAATGATCAATTCATTGGTGTGTTCTTCAAACTATATTTCAGATACTGCGTCCCAACATGATTGTTCCAACATGATTATTCCCTACGCGTTTTGCACTAAAGCTTCCTCAGGGGATCAAGTTAATCTATAAAAAATTGGGAAATGAAATTGTTTGCATTATATGTCATCATATTTGGGCGTGCCCATCCTGATGTAATGCCTAAACAACATACTACTGGAATTGATCTCATATGCGAATGGCCCCACAACGACCGGGCATGTGGTACTTACCTGCGTGAAGTACCTGGAGGTGGATCGAAGTGGTGAGGACAGAAATGGGGTGGGTGGCTGAATCTAGCCCTACCATCCCCTAGCGTCCATCATCTCCACCGGGACCCCGGGGCCTCAAGGGGAGGAATGTCCTGGGCAATGTAGGAGAGCCAAAAAATATCTCCATCTGGAGCAGTGACCTGAGAGGAACATATGGCAAGAGTCAGCTAGTGTTAATGAAGTTGGTTCCTAATTCATTAACCTAGTGCATGGCGGTGTACAAAATTAAAGTACATTTCTTTATATATGGCAGGACCCCTATTAGCCACCCCTAGCCATGGTCTCTAGGATGTGCCATTTGTTAAGGCTGGGTAAGTGTTATGTGGACCCGTGCAGTGATTCGTTCTTAACATATAAATAAGTGATGTGTATAAAGTATGTATGTGTATA